CACACACACACACACACACACACACACACACACACACACACACACACGCACACACGCACACACGCAGTGAAGAGTTTGGGCACATCTCAAAGGACAGCTTCTGCATGAGTTGGTTATTGGTGGAGAGGAGGGGGCCTTACAGCTGTTTGGAGCGGAATATGCCAGTCACTGACGGGCTGCCAAACAGGCCATGGACTACGTGCACACACACACACACACACAGCCGTAAAACCATCCTCTAGAATTTCCTGCAGACATGGCTGATTATTAATTTGCCTTCTCATTGTGCAGACCCAGTACTGACTGAGAATGTAGGAAACCTACTAAACTGCTGCAACTGTCTTGACTGAAGTTAACGTAACCTTTAAACAAGCTTCTGTTTGTCCACATGTCCAGTCAGCCATACAGTCAAGGGTTCATTATCATTAGCAAGGTAAATGTCAATGGCTGCCTTGACTACAGCCTTTAAGGCCTGAGGGCATGTCAACAAAACAAACTGAAAGACATGTGTTTCTACTGGTGTCATATGTGGGAAGACATTTGCTGCAAGCCTTTTGAAAATGAAGCACGATTGTCATAAGCACAGATAATAAAGTGGCTGACAATGTTTTTCACAAGTTGTGATGTTTTATTTTTTTGTTTTATTGTTGGTCATCGTGCTAATCATGATATTTCCACACAAATGTCTAATAAGATAAAATGAAGTGGTGATATTTTGGACAAGACATGGATGTGAACTGCAACATGACTGATTGACGGAGGCATACAACCGCTGTTTTCTCTCTTTCTGTGTCAGAAAATCAAGAGGGAGGCAACAAGCAATAGTCAAATTACATGTATTGTGCACACGTGCTTGGAAAATATAGATGATTGTGATGTGAGATTTACCTCAGCTAAATGTATTTTAAGGTTGAAAGGGAGTCGCTGTTTCAACGGCGCTCTCAAAAGCCTGGTCCAGTATCCCTAGAGATCACATCTGTATTGGATGATTCTGCATCTCACAATTTATGTGCAAATCCAACATCCAGTGATAAACCAGGAAGTGATGTGGCCTTTATGTAACAAGGTGTAACAAGGTGTAACATTTCATGTGGGAGACCAGAGTTTGCGTCCTGTCACAGACCTGCAATTAAAACTTTCTTTTTTATTAATCTTGACCACCATCTTTCCTGAACTGTAACCAAGTTTTGTTTAGTTCCCTAATAGTAACCATACCATAACCATTGTTTAGCTGCCATAACTACAGTCTTCCCCTGTCCACAACCGTAGTTATCATGAGTCAGAGAGTAATCACGGGCCAAATGAGGGCAAGTAGCCCAGTTACATCACTTACACTACAGATGGAGGCTGAAAAAGAGAGATCATTCTGAGACCAACACAGGCTTTGTGGAGATCCCTTTCCTCTCAGGTTCTAGAAGAACAGTCTAACAACAGATCAATAAGGATGTTACATGGTGTGCAGTCATTTTCACACAATCACACATACTGCCCTCCACCACTCTCTCTCAAACACACACAGAGTGTTATCTTAATCGTACCCTGCTTTGGATCATCTGCTTGTTCTCTGGCTCTGGCCCACAAATATCACAGTGAATCTGCTCACACGCAAACAGCCGAAAGGGGACACACTGGGCAACTCACCTCACTGATAGACATCTGCTTCATCTCAGCTAAAGTGTCAGGTGTCTGATGAAAGTGAGTGTGAGCGAGAGTCACCCCCTTCACAATAAAAAAAAAAATCTATCTTTAATATATTTTTATGGACATTCTCTGCTACTTCAGGATTCTCTGCACAGTTGATGGCATTAATTAAAGTGGGACACACACACACACACACACACACACACACACACACACACTTCCCTCGTGGCTACAGTCATTTCTCTAAACTGACATCAAAGAAAGTCACTGATCTCTTTTTTGCCTTTGGGCTTCTCTGCACTGTACAATAAACAGGAGAGTCTACAAACAGCACCCAGCTTTGATTCAGTCAGAGCTAGAGCACCCCGTTCTCATTGTTGATTCCTGTTATATCATTTCACTTGGAGTAAAATGGGGCATTTTTTTGTGGACTGGCGCAAAGCGCATGGTGTTGGCACAACGCATCCAAAATACGCATAGCCTGATTGAAAAGCTACACAGCGGTTTCCCCTGGCGTGTAGTTCTCGCTATACATCCTTACATAAACTTGAGCCATTTAGTCACGCTGAAACGGATCGTAGCCGAGATGATTTCGGGTAAGGTCCCTCGCCGTGTGGAAGTAACACAAACATCACTATTCAGGCACCAAAAGCCATCTGATGGAGTTTAAATTGTAACAGAGATAAGCAGGGCATTAACGAGTCAAAAGCAGTCAACGTAGCCATACACATGCAGACTCTCATTGCAGACTCTCATTGCACCCTATAGTTCATTATATAATACGCTGATGTATTTACGCTGCATAGTTAAGTTATTGCATGCAAAAAACAGTCAAAGTTTCAACTCACCCATTCCAAAACACGGATAAATCCCAGAGGTAATTTTAGCACTTGAAACGTCCCCACAGATGCAAGCTGCAGAAGGACACAGAGGATAACAACACATTTCCTATCACCAATTAACGACACATTTGGCCAATTTAGCAAAAAATCACACATCTCTGAGTCCAGATGATCTCGCTAATCGCGCCGATTCTCACCTGATCGGCGGTGTCCATTTCAATTCTTTCTTACTTGTTTGATTGGATGCAAACAATCTCAAACCTCAATCCAAGACCCGATTGATGTTCTGTCGCGCGTAATAGTAAGGGGCTCGGGGCTCTCGGCTCAGATTCCGACTCCAACCGGAGGAACCCGAGTCCTCTTAGTTTAATTTTTTTTTTTTTGGCGGAAGGGGGGGGCAAGCTGGGCAAGCTGGGATTCGTCTTTCCAAAGAGGAGTGACGCCTACATTTTCTGTCATTGGAGGGATTTGTTGTTCTCAATTATTCTCAATTTGGGTTAATAATGGCTGTTACTTGCAATATATTATAATATTTCCACCCTCACATATTTGTTTGGGTTTTAAGGCTTAGCGCGCATTTAAATTAGAAATAATTAAAATGTGGTTGAAGGCAATTATTTTATTTGTTATATTTACGTGATGGCTGCTACAGCAGTTAAAGTTAGAATAGCTCTGTAGAGGGAAGCTACAAACACTACCTTGCCTGTTTGTGTTAATACTTAAGTGATTTAAATTGCTGCTAATTCGGAGAAGATAATTAATTTAGGTCTGTTGCAGAAATGTGTGTATGTGAAAATTTTATTCTGTATAATATAATAATATTCTCATATTATTTGTGGCAGGAACTGTAATCGTTGACCCTTGGAAGCAGTATGTGTAACCAAACCATTTAAGCAGTGGAACTTGGTTTATTTCACACTTTCCTTTGTCATTGACAGAATACATTTTCATCACTAAAAACCTAAATTCAGCCAGCATATTGCAGGAAAAACACATCATGTAATGTCCTTGTGATTTCTCAAAGTTTCTGTGTTATTGGTTTCACCCAAAGACGATAGCAGCTGAAATGCTGCCCCCTGCAGTCATATAGCCGAACGGTTTATGGTTTTGATTGGAAGTAAAGCCCAAAACAGTTCTATTTAGATACAATTAATACCTATAGTGTTGTGTAAATTAAATTGAGTGAGTTTTAGAGTTATTTGAGAACATTATAAATGGCATAGATGGAGCCCAAATGTACCCAAATGGCCAATTTAAAGATTCCGGCTAAAACCTCTTACCATTCTACCCCCCTTTTTTCAGTATCAAAAGATCACTCCAAAATACCTCATTAAGAAACCAAAACCTTAAGGAACATCATAGAAAAAGAATACAAGTGGGCTCATTGAATCCACAAGAGTCTCAGCTTTCCATCATACCCAATTTATGCACTTCCAAGACTGTTTAGGGACCCCAGTATGCAGAAATATTCAAATATTCCCTTTTTAGAATAAACTAAAATAACACACTAACTATACTTTTTGTATGGCCTCGTTTTGATGTTCTGTCTTGATATGAAAGCTTCTCTGTGCCTCTGATGTTTTGATATGTGTTTGATTCCCCAATTTTGGGAAAGATTTCCACCCTAAGTGTGGTTGTGGCTTATCTGACCCGCTGGCACCAATGACATGTATTAAGAATAACTAAATAGAAATAGCCAATCTTCTCGCTGATGGTCTCGTTTACTTATGTAGGTCATATAGAGGCATCAGTATTAAATTGAGACCTTTTCCGAACCACTTAAAAGTTCCTCACAGTAATGTAAGCACAGGAGACACTCTTCAATATGTCTGAACCACATTTTCCACATCAGTTCTGTATTTCTAATTGTAATCCTTGTGGTTACTCCTGTACTGCTGTATTACACACACATATGCTACAGAAAAAAAAAAAGTTGACAGTGATGCATTTTCCCCATAAATTGTCACACCTGACTTTATATTTTTGTGTTCACGTAGCTGTTTTACAACAGGTCCATAACATGACTGAACTTTGGCAAAATAAAAAAAATACAACTATGTACAATATATAAAAATAAATACCAAACACCTTTACAGTACAACATAGGTATCACTAGTTGACAGACGATGTACCACAGCTGTATGTGTTATTATGGTCCACATTAACAACATTTACAAAGATGTTTAAAGCAGATTGAATTTAAAGGGACCATAGGCATCTGTTTTATCTTTTTTGAATTAGTGTCTTTTATTCTGCAGAATGAAATTCTGGTGGTTCATATTGATGATCAACACAGGTTATGAACAATGTGTATACAACAATGGTATCGAACCAAAATGTCCAGCACATCTAGAGTTTAGATCGTAGTCAAGAGAGAGGCAGTACTCAAGTACGCAGCTGCTCCTCCAGTATTCTGTAGCACAACAATTACATTTTCCTTCACTGGGAGGCGTCTTCCTGTGTTTCAGGAGGGAATACAATACAATATTTGTAACATAGGTCAACGTGTCACAGGAGTCACAGAACTCTGTTTATTGATTGGCTGCGGGTACTCTTTGGCTGCACTTCACCATTAAAAGTGAAACCATCCCCAACTTTAGTTTGGCCACACTTCGCAGCAGAATCAAAACAGCCGCAGTTTTGGAGCAACCGCCTACAGTTTTCCACAGGCATTGCATGGCGGCTCACAGAAGGCCGCACTTCACCGCTGCTCATGGTGTTTTTGCGGCGTAACTCTCAGCAAGAAAGCAAATGAGCGTGTATCTCCCACAATGTCACAACCATAAATTTGCCAGTTCTAGATGGTATTTTACTTAAGCAAAGTATGGCTATTTATGTCAGACAACATTTAACATTTGAGAAATGTAGCTTCTTGTGATAAAAAAGGAATGTGTAGCATAATGTCATTAGAATAATCAAACCAACATTTTGAAAAAAAGTTCTGGTTTTGGTACCAAAACTCACTGGCGCTAGTATCAAAACATTTAAAAAGATACCCTAGCTCTATTCCTTATTCTGTACTGAAGTTCTAGGCAGGACTTTGACTTGTGGACAATTTTACTCCGTGAACTTTTCGCATGTGCCTCTTCATCAGCAGCCTTTCGGTAAATAACTCGTCACAATCCCCACATTTGTACGGCCTCTCCTCTTTATGTTTGGCCAAAACGTGTTTCCTCAGAGTTGAACCTCTGTTGAAAGATTTGCCACAGATGTGACAGCTGAAAGGCTTCTCTCCTGTGTGAGTTCTTATATGTTCTGTCATGTGACCTTTCAGTTTGAAACACTTGCCACAGAAATGGCAGCTGTAGGGTCTCTCTCCTGTGTGCACTCTCATGTGGTTCTGCAGATTGCTCTGACAGGGTATGTGTTTGCCACATATGTGACAGTCAAAGTTTCCCTTGCCGTCATGTGACTTGCTTTCGTGCGTCTTGAGGTGCCATGTAAGCACCGTTTTTTTGGTAAATATGTAGTTGCATATGTGGCATCGGTATAAGGTGGTACTGGTCTTCTCTTGAGAGTGCTCTGGATCTTCTGCAGGGGTTTGCGTTGGCTCTCTGCTCTCCTCTGCTGCTTTGCAGTCTTCTAACTGCTGCACTGTTTTGATGAGTTCTTTCGTCAAGGCATCCCCGTCATCGCTGTCCTCTGCTGAGGGTTGCTCCTCTAGCCCGTTGATCCACAGTTCCTCCTTCTGCTCCTCATGCTCCTCTTCAATCTGGGAGGGTCCTGGCTGGTCCTGGCACACAGCCGGGCTCCACTCCTGCTGTTTAGGGGCAATCTCCTCCACCGATATCGGTGCAGTTGACAGTTTGGCATCTGCAAAGACGGAAACAGAAATGCATTACACCGACTGAGTTGTAAGTGCCAAAATATTGCTCCCATCAATCTACGGCCATCAGGAATTTTACCTTTGAGATCAGCTGCCTCAGAGCCACATCAACTTCATGAAGGGTCAAACCAGTCAAGAGCTGAGGACTCAGTGGAGCCTCAAGCTAGGAACTATTTTCTTGTGTATGAGTGTTACAGTACAACAATGCCAATATGTTACTATTGCATTTTTAAGGAATCAATTTTGAAGTGTTGAATCTGAATACTTAAAGGTGTGTTGCCTATATCCACCTTCTAACAGGCACAGTATACAGGGAATCTTTCCTGAGTCTCAGAGGCATTAGACTTCTTAAGATTGCATGCAGATTTTCACCGACTTGTCATTGGCTCAAACTAGCTCAAATTTGATTGCTTGAGTGTTTTTGTGGGTGTTTATTCTCTCCAAACAGCCACTGATTGTACAGATATTACCTGTCGTTAGCTAGCATCATACACACTGTGTTTGTGTGAGCAAACACTTTGCTCACATTGAAACATTTAAAATACATCCGAGAGATCTGGAGCAAATTTGCATCTGTTCCAACAACAACTCGTGTCTTTCCGTTGGCCTTCTATAGTCAGTCGTCTATATTGAAGTAGGTTCAATTGATCACCCAAACTTGTAATGCAGGTTAGTGCAATTCAAACTATGAAACTATACTGTTGCACATCTGATTACAATCAACATCCCTGATTGGTGTAATCAGAGGTTTGCTCTGTCGCACCTGTAACCACACCCAACTGTGATGTCACACCCTAATCACAAACACACATCTGCCAATATGGGGGTCTAACCTCTTTTGAAGTCATGATTTTATAGAGACAGACACACAATAAGAAAAACTGCAGCAATAATTACATGTACTGTAGCTTTATTGGTATTGCACTTTACAAAACAATACATTACAAGCAAGTCAATAAGAAGAAAGCCACACATGAATTAAAGGCAGAATTTAAGGAAGTACAGCTGTCAATAACAAAGTTTTAAAACACGGTGCGAAAAGCTAATTTTGTATCATAATATAAATAGCCCTTACGATGCATTTTATAGATAGATAGATTTATGCACTTTTAACTATTTACTTGGTACATTAAGTGTTTTAAGTATATTTCTTCCGAGCGTTTTACATGTTAGATGTGAAGCAGATTACAATTACAGCAACTCATCAGGAGCATCTGAACAATATGAGAAGTTGTATCAGTGCGGTGGAGCATAAGTGCTAATCTGAGGAAGCATGTCAGCTGCAACTTCAATTAACACACAAGCAGAAAAGATAAACCTTTAAAAAAGCCATCACCATCAGATGCCCTCAGACTCACTGTAACTTTAAACAGCAGCAAGCATCGGCATTGCTACAGCAACAGTATTTCATATGGAGAAGGTGACATCGTGGACCGTCTTCATGTGCTGTTTGAACACGACGAGCAGAGGAAAGCGCTGGCTGCACTGCATGCACTTGAACGGCATGTTCTCCCTGTGTTGGATCCTGGCGTGTTTCGTCATGGTGGAAGACCTGTTGAAGCTTTTCCCACATGTGTAGCAGGTGTAAGGTCTTTCTCCAGTGTGAGTCCTCAAATGTTCTTTGATATGACCTTTCAGTCTGTATCTGTTACCACAAATGGGACAGGCAAAGGGTTTCTCGCCGGTGTGTGTTCTCATGTGGCAGATCATTTGACTCCTGGTGTCTGTTTTTCTACCACAGGCATAGCAGCTGAACGCTTGGTTGGTAGGCTTCGGTAAATGTTTTGCTTCATGAACGCCGAGGTGCGATTTTAACTCGATTTTTCTCAAAAAAGGCTGACAGCAAATCTTACAAAAAAAAAAGTTTTTCTTCTTTGTAGATACTGGAGATACTCCAGAGGATGGTAGCGGTTGGTCATCTGGTGATGGTATCTCATATTTCATGTGCTCTCCGACTGTTATAACTCGAGACAGGCTGTCTGGCGCTTCGTATCCGCCATGCTCTCCAACTGTCACAACTTGAGTCGGGCTGTCTGGCATCTCATATTCTTCATGCTCTCCAACTGTGACAATCTGAGTTAGTGTGTCTGTAACGTTGCTGTATGCAGGACGTACAGGTGTCTCTACAGACCTGGTACAAAGTTCAGTCAGTTCCTCTTTAATGGTCAGGATGACCTGCTCCTTGTCGGCCTCACTGGGAATACATTCCTTCTGTATCTGCTGCTCCTGAGCACAAACCTCCAGTGTTGGTGTGGGCAAAGCGATCTGCCTTGAATCTGTAACAGTGGATAGGAAAATGTTTTTGGTAGCAGCTAGAAAAATCACTCCTCTGATCACACAAGAACTTGAACGGTCCCCAGCAGCGCCGCTCGTCCTAACAGCAGCAGAGAAATCAAATGAAAGCTATGGTTTGAAAACAGTGACTATAAACTTTCATTAAAATGAACTTGGACACCAAACATTAAAAAAACACAATAGATATTCAAAATATCATAAACAGAACAACTGGTGTGAGGAACAGAATTGTGTGGAGAACGGGAGCCAATACAAGTGCAATCATATCAATATGCTGCACTACATACCTTTTTCTATCTGGGACATTTCACAAATAAGCACCCAAAATATTCATCGATGGTGAGCATAAGGCGATAAAAAAAAAAAACATGACTCAAATGGTGGATGTAAATTTATTTTATGGAACAAATCGAAGTACTTCACATGGAAGTAGTACTCACATAGCAGGGCACCTGAGCAAATGGCTCCTAATTGTGATTGAGTAAAACGGCTCAAAATGTAACACAACACCAACACTCAACATCCACACTCGGTGGAATTGAAACTCTAGTCAAGGAGTCTGCAACATCAGGCCGTAGCTTAACCAAAGGCACCCCGGCAATAAATGTTCAAGATTGTTTTTTTGGAAACGTTGAAGTGTCCTCTCATCCGCATGCTAAATGACCTCTTCCAACGCCATTGGCAGCTGCAGTTTGTTAATGATTTCAACTCAGACGAAGGTGTTTTTAAGGATTACAGCCTTCTTGTATAGGTGCGCTCATATATAATGACAAAAAATGTTTTTTACTTTTTTTATTTTAATGTTGCTATACACGTTACCTGTCTTTATGAAATACAATTACAGATCCTTGGGAGATTTCATTTCGATGTAGTGTCATAAGTTATTGTTAATCTTAATGTTGATATGGCACACTGATTAACAAGAAACTTTAAAAGTGGCACTTCATATAAAAAAAGGTTGCTGACCCCTACTATAGTCCGTATGCAATACTGCTGTCACATTATTGGCTGCATTTCATTCCCCCTTATTTTAAGGCAGAATTTGGCTTCTCCTTCAAGGCGTCGCACAATAACACTGTTGGAAAATATGTACAATTCAGCACGGCTCACACTCGTCAAATGGGTTGGATGGTAGAGGTGAGAAAGATCTCCATGTTAGCGACTTGCGAGCATTCATATCATCACGATGCTTGAAGGGTTACAGTGTTAGGACTCGGATGTTGACGTGAACACCAGTCAGGAATGACTCCGATATAACATGAGCCTGGAATAAGCCTCATGTAATCACAAATACTGCTTCCATGCTTTTTGTAGTTTGGGTTCACAAGTGAAATAGGCGGGCTAAATTAAGCTGTATTTAAATAATATACAATGGATCTCAGATGTGAATAGATTTGATTTTGTGCAGCTGTGTTTCACCCCTTCCGGTCAATGACTTGAATTTCTCTCACAACCCAAACGTGTTTTTTGCGAGCCACAATAGGCGATGAGGGGCCTAACTCCACATTCAGTCTGGCTGTACTATAATAACACCAAAAAGATACAAGGCCACAGTTTATAGTGACAAACAGGATATTACAAAAGACTTTCAAAATGCACTTTGCAGTATGTGACATCACATCAACAGCTAATTAATTAATGCTCACCTTTAACAAAATAGTCACACCACTTTTAAAATTTATTTAAGCAGCTCCTCCATTTTGTTAACATGAATGGAGTCATAGGAGGCAGTGGTTTATTCAGTCAAGAAAAAAAACTGTGATTGAAAATGGTCAAAGCAGTTGTCTCAGTTGCAAGATAGAAGTTTTACTTTTGCTATTGGTGACACAAGGTCATTTTGGTGAAACACGACCATGTTACTGGGCCTGTCCCGAGGTTCTTTCATTTTTACTCCTGCCTATATCATTTGAAAAATCCACATGTTCCAACATGGCATGCATTTGAACAAAGATACAATAAACCCTTATTTACACTCAATGAGTCACACTTTGTGTACATTTTTCTAAATCTACACACATGCACTTTTATAAATGTGAAAAGGTCAAGTTAGTGCTTGTGATTCGGAAATACATATTATTGTTTGGCGTTTGTTCCCTCCACACAAAATAAAGTATGGAGTGTATATTAACCCAACACGTTTCTTTGTGTAGAATAAACTGAATTTCAAAAGAAAACATTGATTTCTTTTCATGTCGTTAGGACGATACATATAAATATTGGCATCGTACAGAACTGCATTATGAACAAATCATGGTTTAAATGGTTTTATTTTCTTAATGTTTGCTGTCTTCTCTACAGGTGACGTTGGCTTCCATTCGCCATGTACGCTCCCTGTCATTAGCCAGGAAACAGAGACATTAGCTAACATGGCTTGCTAACGTAACGTAGCTGAATGTGGCGAATACAAAGCCCTTAAACTAACTTCACGCAGTGTTATCTGACGTGCTTTGGATAATTACTAACGTTAAGCGTAATGTCAGCTCAGGCACCGACGGAGAGGTGCAGCGCAGCCTGAGAAACATACCTGCCCTGTGCAGCCTTATCTCTGGTTTGTAGACCAAATCCAACAGCCGCTGCAACCTCTGGTTCTCCAGTTTCGTGTGGTACACCTCCTCCTGGTAGTCTATTATTGTCTTCTCCACGAATCCATAGATGTCTACCGCGGCGGCGGTTAATCGTTCCGTCAGAAAGACGTTGAACGACTGAAGCGTGGAGTTAGCCATCGTGCAGCCTCTGTTAGCTCCCTTTTCTGCGAGCGGTGTGTTGCACAGTGTGTACCGTGCAGAGAGGTACCGTGTAGTGCTTCGAGGGGAGCAGCCTTTAGCCAGAGATACGATATGCAACAAGGTGTCATACCGCCATCTACTGTGCTGGACTGTGTATAACTGTAGTATAACTCCAAGTCTAAAGATTGCATTGCCATATTCACACATTACATTTCACCCTACATCCCTTTTTGTTGCAGGACACAGTTGTCCTTTCAGTCTTTCTGTACAGGAATGTCATGGTAAACCAGCCTAAACTTTATTTATGTTTTCAGACGTGCATTATATACATTTCTATAACCGGCCCTCAATGAGCTACCTTGTCAGTATATGTAAAAAACGACGTGTTGACATGTAAGCTAAATAAAACAAGAGGCAAAATATAAAATAAGCAGTTTTGTTAGTTCACACAGAGACGCCAATGTGGAAAACGTTGAAAATATCAAAGCTTTCGCAGAAGTGTACCACAGGTCCAGTGAAAAGGGATCTGAGAAAACCGACACTCAGTTTTCTACTGATGCACAAAAGCGTACATGCCCAGATGTATCTTTCTTATTGTTGCAAAAGAAGAATCCACCCTCGCCTGCGTGCAAAGATAACTAACTGTGTTGTATGAGAATGTTCCAGCACCAAGGCCATCTGGCTGCTTGTTTTGGTTGCTGGTTGTTTGTTTTTCTTTGTTGTTTCTAGCAGTCTGAGACCAAAATGTCTGTATCATTGGCCCCCACCGTTGCTCCTTCTGCGTAAAGAAAGTGCGTTCCCTGTATACTTGGTTCTTCCTCACTGAGACTGTACGCATTCTGTTGTGATGATTGAATCTTCTCTGCACAGAAAATAAATACTCAAAAGACAACCTCTGGTTTTCGGTATTCTTTATTTCAGCATTATTAAAAGACTCACACAAAGCGGGTACATTTCTACTTAGTATATTGTGTAAATGCTTAAGTGTTTGTACTTTTGCTCTGAACTCAGTAGCCCTCCACCCTTTGTGTTAACATACGTGCTCAAATGTATCTTGCTGTTGGGTAATGGAAATATATTCTTATGAGTATTTTATATTCTTATAAGATAGAACTGTTTTACAACTTGTTGTGAAACAAACCATCATAAGCTTGCATCATGTAACTTGTGATCCATGCAGCTGACTGCCTGCACACACTCTTCTTCTGTGTTGGATAACAAGTACCTATTGTATATTCACATGTTCTATGCCTCAAGGATACAACATATATATGTGTGTGTCTGTTGTTACACAGATAAAGCACTTCTTTTACTTCCGTTTGACGATATTCTGTTTCAGTTTAAAAAGACTCAACAGCAGGTATAATCATTTTCCACCACAATCCTGTTTATTCTCAGACATTCAACTTGATGCAGATCTTTTGCCACATTCTTTAGAACAGTGTGGTTTCTGACCTGTGTGAATCTGCATCAGCATTCATAACTTCTTGCATTTTCTTATGCCTGTCTTGACTCTTGTCTAAATATTGGAGTAACTTATTCTTCTTTCTTTTATACAAAACTACTTCTCTCTTGACAGCAAATATTGTACAGAAATAGGCTAAAATGAATACATTAATATCACAATATGATTGCAATAATTCAGATTATTCTCCTTCTATACCTTCTGACTTTGTTTAAGAAAGGGCTTTAAGACAGTTTAGGCAATGTTCCATTCAACATCTTTTGTTTGCTGTAGAAGACGTGACAACTATTATTTTAATGTTTCCAATTAATACCATTAGGCTTTGTCTAGACGTATCAGATTATGAACAATTTCAAACAACTCCTCAAATTAAGTTTTGAATAGCTTGTTCATGACATTGTAATATAAACTATAGGAAACATATATTTGGATGAGGATTGCCAAAGGGTTAGTAGAATAATTTAATAGTAAAAGCAGTAGTAATATGTACTTTAATACTGTGTTAGCTGCATGAGCAACAGCAGCACTGAAAGAGCTTTTAAAACAAAACTAAAAACAGATATCTGATCACTATATAATACGTATCAAAGATTTTGTGTGATAAGCTTTCAAATAGTAGTTTCCACATTCATGGTATATAGTTAATATGTCCTACTTTGCATTGCATGTGTAACAGATATATGGATGGGAGCATTGTTTCTCATATCACCGTAACAGTGATGAGTGCTGGATTTTGGTTTGATTTCAAAGAAATTTAAAACGTTAAACTTTTTTGTTCACTGAGGTGTTACTGTTGAGGTCTGAAACATTAACGGGGCAACTGTGAACATTAAATATAATGTACATCTTTTATTCTCATATGAATATAATACAGCCACATTTGACACTGATAGTTGAAAATAGATATGCATTTTTTACATGTTAAAGTGCAGTGCAGTATATACAAAGTGAAAGAGTGTAATTAACACCTCAATTAGCTGAGATGCATCCTGGGATGTTTACAGTTGAAACCGTAAGAGGTAAATCCACACTGAATCCCAGAAGGCAAAATACTGCTGCAGCGCTGCATCTCTATATTTAAGGTCGATACACTTGGTGACATCTGAAGGAGCACACCTGCTGTGACATCACTGACTGGGGCCAGAACAGCAACAGCATTGGAAGTTTTAAGAGCAGCGCAAAGCTTCTTTCTTTCTTTTAAGAAACAACTAGGAAGCTCTTACTTTGATTGGGAGTCATGGTAAAAACTCTGAACACATAAATAAAACATTTCCAGTTATGAATAAATCATATTACTATTTCATATTTGCTTTATCACAGGAGACATAGGAGCTACCGTTTGTGTGTTACAGGTCAGTTTAACCAATCAAGAGCCAGGTGATATCAATGAAAACTAATTCAATATCAGTGAAAAGTACACAACCTCTGAACTGGCTATGCTGTTCTTATCCAATATCTCATAAGATGCAACATTTTACTGCTCCATGTCATTATCATTCTGCAGCGTTTTCATTGCAAGGCCCCACAGAGTTACACTGGAGATAAACTGGGCTTCAGTGGACCTGTAGGAGCCACTATTGGGCCTGCTAGAAGAAGTGAGGGAACTGCAGTGATTGGCTGTGGGAGGGAGGTAGGGCCTCCCCACCCCTCCTCTGCCCATCTCCACCGACATATTCCCATTCTCCACATACGGACCGTACACAACCTCCGGAGACAGGTGGTGTTTGGAAAGCTTCATGTGGTCTGTGGCTGTCGGGGCTGCACCTCTCTCCTGGTGGTTGGAGGAGAGGAGGTGATGGGGTACCAGCGAGCGCAGCTCAGGAAGGGGGGTGGGGGTAGAAGCCGGGCTGAGGTGCATGCTGGGTGGTGGAGTCTCTATATGTGGTGGTGAAGTAGTAGTCGGTGAGGGTTTTTCTAACCCTGCATGGGGCATCAAGCCGGGGAAATGCTGCTCACTGGTTGCGGCAGGAGGTTTACTGTGGCTGACGGGTTTGGGGAACGCGGCCACTCCATCTGAGCTACAAGGTGGGTCAGAGGTGTCTGTAGCGGGGCTGTCGGCTGGAGCCCCCTTGCAGTGCATGTTGCTGTGTCTCCTCAACATGGCAGAGCGGGTAAAGCTCTTTCCACAGGCGTTGCAGATGTAGGGTTTCTCACCAGTATGCGATCGTATGTGACGCTGCAGGTCCCCTGAGCCAATGAAGCATTTCCCTAGAATAATTAAGAATACATATTGAATGTAAAACACGGTGCAGACATTAGGCTATACTGAATTTAAAAAAAAAGATATATATATATATATATTTTTTTAAAACTGATTAACTTTTACTGGGTGTGTTCACAACATGACTCAAGCATGTTTTGGGAAAAATGCCCATTATAATTTAATAAAGCCCGAATTGATGTCATCAAAATGCTTGTTATGTCCAGAACCCGAAGATATGCAGTTTACAGTTACATGAGACAAAGAGGAGCAGAACATTTAGAGACTAGAGCAACATATTTGCAGATTCATTTCCAGTTAACTGACTAATTGTTTCCTAGCATAGTGTTTTATACAACTATGTCTACAGTGTAATCAATGTGAATAAGACTTGCAACACTATAGACGCTGTTCTTTACCACATGTGGCACAGCTGTGTGGTTTTTCCCCAGCGTGACGAGCCTTGTGCTTTAGAAGCTTCCTGTGCGTGTTGAAGGATTTTCCGCACTGGTCACATGTGAATGTCTTGTCTGTGGTGTGAGTCCTCTTGTGTTCCTTGAGATTGCTCAAGTTGTTAAATCCTGAGGTACAAGACAAGCACAATGAAAAAAAATTAATTAATTAAAAAAAAAAAATCACTGGGTCTGTGAACTAAGAAGCTCAACCTACTATCAATACTTGATAAAGATTCAACTTAAGAATGAGGACATTAGGTAAGAACTACATATAGATGGATAAAGGAAATAATTAAGATAATTGCTTCTGTTGAGAGCAGTAATTTACCTCGACCACATATATCACACAGATGTGGCTTCTCTCCTGTGTGGACCACTTTGTGACGATGGACATCCCCTGATGCAGTAAAGCTGGAAAACACAGATGAATATTCGATTTATAGGCTACTGTAGAGACTATTATATATTATATTACAGGGCTGTGTCATACAGGGACAATATCATATCACTGGGGCCTGAACTATAATCTATTGTAATTGGTTAATTAGTCCAGTACAGCCACAAATTCATCAATTTCTTAATTATTGCCTGAACGTTATTGGTATGCCTGAAATCAAGTCAAGCTTTTGTAAACTAGTCATGAGTAAGTAGTAATTTGCAATAAGTAAAGGAAGACACACAGACATACAATACACAACAAAGTGGCAAAAAAAAAAAACATATACAGAGAGGAGGTGAATGACCAAAAATGTAAATGAGGAAATTGCACACATAGAAGGTGCCATACCTTTTACCACATAACTCACAGATGTACGGTTTCTCTCCAGAATGTCGCCGCAAATGTGTCTGTAAATTTCCAGCCTGTAAAAAAAATTATCTGTTAGATATCTCAATATATTATTCCCATCTAAGAATAACTCTGGAAAATCTGAATAATACACCAGACGTTACCTGTGAGAAGTATCTCCCACAAACATTACACTGGAAGGGCTTCTCACCTGCAGAAAAAATAAATGTATGTTTGCTTCTGAAAATATTCCTAGAACTAAATTACAATTATTACGAAAACATGTCACTGTATACCATGTGTGATTATAAGGCCAATTGAATCAGTAAATACCGGTATGTGAGCGCTTGTGCAGCTCCAGATTGCTCGGGTGTCTGAAGATCTTCCCACACACCTCACAACAATACTGCTTGTTTCCTATCTGCTGCGGTGGCTCTGGCAAAGTTTTCAGATTTTGCTCTTCTTGGTTCACAGGTGTTGGACTGGGAAGTTGCGTATCTGTTGCCGTCTCTGTAACCTGCTCTCTGTCTGAGTTAAGGCCCTCAACGGGAGCTTCTGAAGCTTCAGTCTGGACCACAGACTCTTCTTGATGACTCTTTTTGGGACATCTGAGGACAGGTTCACTCACTGATTCAGCAAACATCTCCTCCAATGCCTTCTGAGATCGGAGGTAGTTGTATTTCTTCAGGTACACAGCCTTCTTTGGGCGCACTGGCTTGTTGAGCATGGAGTCTGCCGAGTTAGCGTTGGGGGTGTTTAAATTATCTGAGGGTGTTAAAGAAGAGACGGGGTTCTTTACGACTGCCACAGATGTGCAGGGAGGATTGGGCTGAACTGTGTTTCCTGAGCATACGGGAGTGGGGCTGACGCCGAGCTGACACGGCTGCTCTTCCACCAGCACCAAAGGGCACGGGCCTTGATTTAAGGCTGCACTATTAGTCTCAAGTGCACTTTGCTTGAAGTACTGCTTACTATAGAAGTTACGGAGCTTGTAGCCATGGACAAGCTGTTTTTCTACAGGTGCTGGAGTGCTGCTAGCTGTATCACAGTTCGAGGAGCTATTAGGCACAGAAACAGGCAACCTTTTGGTGTGGTCCACATCACTACTGAAGCCAGGCTTTTGGGTTTCAGAGGGACAGTGGAGGTCAACATCATGAGGAAGACTACTGCTCCCCAAGAGGCAGTCATGCTCAGAACTCAGCATGCCCGGAAGAGAAAACGATGTGATTTCCACTGGAGGAGGACAAGGCTTGAGGAAAGCATTACACATGCTCTGAACATTTGGAACCTGCAAACACTGAGCAATGTCCAGGAGTGCTTGCACATTATCTTGGTTGATGTCAAGATGGGAGGTGTACATGTAGTCCAATATTTGGCCGATGCCACTGACATCCTGGATGACCAAGTTGAACACCTCATTCTTCTGACTGGGGGAATTTTGGAATAATGACCTGGAAAGATCAAAGCAGCATTTTTAGCATTAACAGCAGTGTATGATTACTTAGCTACGTGATAAGTATGGAAATATGCCACAGATTCACTGACATGTCACTCTATTATAAAAAATTATTGCATAAAAGCACCTGAAATAGGAGCTGAAAGCAGCCAGGACATTCTTGTGGGCTTTGAAGCAGACACCTTTGACCACCAGCATGCAGTCACAGAGCAGACCCTGAATCCTCTGCTCCTGGAGCTGCTGCAGGAGGTATGAGCTGTGGCTGGACAGGGTGTCCATGGTCAATCAGCTGCTGAATCACCCAGCTCCAACTTCTCCATCAAAACACTTTCTTAGGGGACACAACATGACAGAAACAGCAAATCTCTTATAAAGGAAATATAAATAATTTATCTGGTTAGCTTGTCCTTGAAATGTCACCAAATAAAAAGTGACGCAAGCGATGCCTTTTTCTTTTTGAAATGATAATATTCATAAATAGATAATCCAACAACCGCGCAGACTCCAGCGTGTCTCTCCTACGAGACCACCCATGCAAAAATTTGGACGAAAACGGCTAACAAGCTAACTGCAATGCTATGCTAACCACCTACGACATTGAGCAGTGTGAGCCGGTGCAGCACCAGATCCCTAAATAATTACATTTACAAACGAGAATAAAAGCCTTAAATGTCGTTAGCGGAGTAAGGTTTGCTAGAAACATAAATCCAAACCTACGTCTGATAAGTCCACCTTTTATGTGGATGATGGGTCACTTTATCCAGCATCAATACGTCACCTCACTTCCTGGTGCAACCCGTATTTCGTTCCGCCTAAAAATGAAGCAGATAACATAAAAGGATTATTTTGAGACTTTCAGTCTATGATTTAATATACTGCCACGTGTCAAATTGGTTTAACTAGCTGCAATTTATCTCTTGATTATATAAATAAACGTTGGACAATATTAATATCACACTGGTCGGAACATCTCTCAACTTGCATTTTACACGGAAGCCTATTAATGTTGTTCATGGTGTGATCACGTGTGTTTTGAAAACTTCCCACGAACGGAACAGAACAGGCGGTTTGTAGCATTCAGCTCGAGGCTCACAACATCTGTACGCTTTGATAAACATCCGCTTCTAGCTCTTAGAAGAGCGTCTCTACCTTTCGTTGGCTAACGTTAGCGTTAGCTCGTACCAGCGCTGTGGACAGTCGGGTCCCGCTTTCGCGTGAGGATTGCACCGGTTTCGGTTTGACGTATACGTTGGTACCGTTAGCATTATCTGTGTTAGCACATTCGGTTAAATAAAAAATAATCACTACAGTGTAGTCAAGCAAAACGTGTCGTTAAAATGGTGTTCTTCACCTGCAACGGCTGTGGTGAATCCCTGAAAAAAACCCAGGTTGATAAACACGTGGGCATGTGCCGAGGATGCCAGGTGCTGTCCTGCATCGATTGTGGAAAAGATTTCTGGTAATGTCCGAGCGTCTACTGTGGTCTCATTTTCGGTTTACTCTCGCTAATGTTTTCTTTTAAAACCCACGTGGCGTCATTCCCCCAATCTCAGTGTGTTAAATGGTGTCTCTGTACGTGTTGAACAGGGGTGATGACTACAAGAACCACGTTAAATGTATCAGTGAAGACCAGAAGTATGGAGGCAAAGGCTACGAGGCTAAGGCAAACAAAGGAGACGTGAAACAGCAGCAGTGGATCCAGGTAAAACGAAACGATAACCATCACTGTCTACTGTCTGTATTTGTGTTTTTTTATTTTGCTTCTAACTTGATGAATCCTCTCCTGAAGAGAGTCCAAGACGCCATGAACAAACCTGGAGTCAGTGCAAAGCTAAAGGGTGTGCTCCAGCAAGTCAGTGCTTATGATAATGTCCCAAGAAAGAAGGCTAAGTTCCAGGTTAGTAATACTTACCAATAATGTTGTTTTATTAACCACACTGTGTGATGAACAACTGGCTTGCCTGCATTTACTAATCATATATATTTTTGGTCTCTTCCTCAGAACTGGATGAGAAACAGTCTTAAAATATCTAACACCAGCCTTCATGATGAAGTGTGGGACATCTTCGCTGCAGCTGGCAATGTAAGCTACTCTGCTTAAAAGTTACTGTTGTTGTTGTTTGTCTGGCTGTTCCCTTGTGCACATTGTCACTGTCTGTCAGCATACATCAAAGTGAACGAGTTTTTAGTTTAAGTTCAAATCCAAAGTGATGAAATGCAATAGTTAGAGGTTTCCAGTGGCCCTGAAGTACATTAGAAACATGCTACAGGGATTTACTTTATCTTGCATAGATGATTTAACATCTAGTTTATCATGCATGTGGTTTTCCTTATACTATCTGGTTGTAATACATTTAGTCATGGAAAGAAAAGGGAAGTTCCTCCTTATCTTCAATATCCCAACTGACTTTCATTACTCACCTATAATCCGACAGCCTCCCGAGGCCCCCCAGGGGACTAAAGAAGCCGAGCAGACAGTTGCTGAAGTCAAAGCGGATTCTAATGGAAATGAAAATCAAGACGGTGCGAAGAAGAAACTGAACAAACTCGAGCGCAAAGAGGCCCGTCAGCAGAAGAATAGGAAGGTTGCGAAAGGTGCCGATAAGGCGGTTGCAGAAGAGCCAGGAGAAGGCAAGAAGAAGAAAAGGGACAGAAAGAGAAAGCACGGCTCCGAGGAAGACGCCGATGAAGAGCAGAACGGTGCCGATGAAGAGACATCCAGCAAGAAGTCAAAGACAGGTACGGTGTTTTCTAAAAATAATGCTGTTCTTACAGTATTATATGATCCGTTTTTTTAGCATATTTTAATGAATCCTGATACATTACTGATATATTAGAACGTCTGTTTTATTGCTGTGTGTCCTTGTTTGAAAGTATATTTAACAATTTAGTTTTTTCTTTCTGTCTCTCAGTTGACCAAGAGGCTGATGTCACTTCAGAGGAGACTGAGGATCAAGAAGTTCCCAAAGGTAATGTGGTTCCCGACATGACTTTCACTGACATCTTTCAGAAAATAAATGATGTAAAATAGAAAAAGCCACCAGGTGTCAGTGTTGCTTCTTTTGTTAACGGAAGAAACCCCCCCCCCCCCCCCCCCCCAGCTAATTTAAGTAATAATAAATCTCTGATTAACTTGCAGGCAAATTCAACTGGAAAGGAAATATCAAAGCAGTACTGAGAGATTCAGCTGACCAGGAACTGCCAGTAAAGAAACTTAGGAAGAAGGTGAGTCATGGAGTGTTTTAATACAATTGACTTCTAATCCCAGCAGCACCGTGTTCTTCTAAGTATTACAGTAGTACTTGTACACATGGATCACTATAGGCAAATGATTATACCATTGTTCTCCTTTCTCTTTATTTTTCATGCAGATTATCATGTAATTATTATTTGTGTTTATTACACTAATAAAAAGTAGCGAAACCATCAACGTTGCTATTTACTGAATTTGAAAATGTAGTAAAGCTGTTTCAAATGCACAAATCAAATTACTGTACTGTGTATAATTGTGTATACAGTATTTGAAATATGTTATACTGTAGTACAAATTAAATTAGGCTATAGTCTAAAAACGGTAACGTCAGTAGTGCAAATAGGCTTCCAAGCCACAGCTTGGCACTGGTTTCAGTGCATTTCAAAATTTTGAATAGGCCTGAAAGTAAACTGTAGGCTATAAATGCCGACCTGGTAGCAGAGTTCGAAAATAAAAGTATTCATAAAATACTGAATTTTCATATGTTGTTTATTAAGATGTTAAAGTTTTTTCTTCTCTTTTACAGGTTGTGGCAGCATACTACTCTTTCACTGGTGATAGTAATTTTAAAAAAGAGGAGGAGGTGCTTGCACTTTTCAACAAGAAGGTCAACAGCAATCCCAAATTTCGAGTCTTGAAAGAAAGAGTTAGACTTGTAAAGTAGACGTGTTTATCTCCCCCGTCTGACATGAAATGTATGTTGTTCATAGACTTTTGAAATTTAAACGCCCCATATAGTTGTCTGCCGTCCTCCCTTGGATGTTTTTGTACAGATGACCTAATCTCGAAGATTAAATAATTTTATAACTGAATTACATGTCCTGTTCCCGTTCAGTATCATAACTGATTGCAGTGGCCTCGTCAGCAGGAGGAAGACTTTTTTTTACAAATCGCCTCACAACGTGTCTGTATTGTTTTATGTATGAAATGACAATTGTGATAGACGGCTCCTCTGTTCCACATTCCAAGCCCACGGTAAGGCTGGGAAATGGCACCTTATCTGTGGGATTGGATGTTGGAGTGGGGGAAGGGAAATAGGAGAGGTGCACCTGAGGTGAATTTGACTCTCACACGGGACGAAGCTAATGCACATTCCTCGGCACCCCGAACGGGGTTAACTTGGCCAGGTACACAGAAGCTCCATAGAAGCAAGACGCTTGGTGTCAGCCTCAGGTGAAGTTTTAATGCTGTCTGATTTTCCACCGCTAGAATGAGCAGCCCCTTTACCCTGTGTGTACACACACACACACACACACACACACACAGACACACACAGACAGAGGAGGAAATCTGCCCACCTTTATGAAGCTCTGCTAATCCCAGCAGGTTTAACACTGATGCTCATTCATCACACTGCTTACTTGTAATTGTATATTGCATACTTTGGGTATTAGTCAAGCTGTTACTCAAGTTTGCCGGTATTAAAATAGTGTTTTCTTGTCCACAGTGTGACTCAATATTGCTCAATGCTTTTGTTTGAATCCAGACCCCACAGGATACTCCAGAACAGCTGAAACTAAGCCCGTCTTTGCTGTGGCAAAACAGATCTCCAATCGACATTTTATTTGTGCCATTTGATATCGCAGGATTAACTGTGTTTTTATGGGGCAGTTTCACTAAAATTTGGTCTTGGTGGCAGTCATATATCTGATCAATGCCATTTTAATTTGTTTCCCTTGGGTATTGAAGTGAGAATGCCTTTTCTGAAAGAAGAAACCATGTTTTCTCTTCAAGATGAAATGTTGAAGTCCTTGATGTCCTGAGTAATAAAACACTTGCTTGTTTCAATACAGTCAGCAGTTTTTCCACTAAAGCCTTTATGATCCTTCTCTGCTGGTGCTACTGTTAAATTATCTTTGAGAGCTTATGTTTAATCATTAATAGTGAACTAACTCTTCAAAACACACCCTTAATACAGCCTTTACCTGGTCTGGTATGACCAGTAGCTTATGGTGGATTCTAAGAGTCTTCTCTACTCGTCTTATAGTTGCATTTCGTTTTAGCATTCATCATTTTCTCTCTATTGTTTAACATAAAGCACTGTACAGCGGTAAGTACACCTTGTGCTATCGTAAGGAGGTGGTAAACATGGCCAGGTATTTCTTCTTTTACTAATCCCCAGTGTAAAAACCAAAGTATGACACTCTTATCTGGTGCATCTGCACAGGAATAATGAGTGCAAAGGAGCTTATGACCGTGTCACCGTTACCTGTTTGTGAACAAAACTCAACATGTTTTCCCAAAAGGCTTTTACCATATTAATATAAACAAGGGTGGTTTATTATTAGTTACACCTCTTTCAGTATAACACAATACTATCCAATGGTACAACAAATTACAGATGCCAATAAATGATTTAGGACTCACTGCAGGACTGTTTCTAAAAATGTATTCGTTTTAGATGTACCTTTATAAACTGGCATCAGAATGTATATTGTGACTGTTTGCTATAGAATAAGTGGTAGCAGCAAGCTTTATTCACTTTCCTTCTCTGCAGGTGTCCAGTCTGTGCCAGATTGAAATTGAGAGTGAAATAGGACAACGGTATCAGTAGTGTCAGATTCTTGCCCGTGCTATGTAAAAGTATACATTCAAGATAAATGTTGAAACACAGCCAGCTGCTATGCATTTTGCAAAGTTTTTGTCGGATGGGAACAAGTGTCCTGTTCATTCAAATATCCTGTTACCGCTTTGAGGTTGTTCTGGTTCGTGTCAAGATAGTCTTTGTGGAAAATGTTCTCAAACACATGGTTGTTCTTTATTCAAAGTATTGTTGTGTTCTGTAGTAGGGTACAGATAATGAAATAATATTTACCTTTTTGCAAGTGCTAGAACAAACATTCACTGTAATCATACTATAAATATAGAGTTTAGTGTATGCATCACAAGTCCTATATTGTTGGTCCCATAGAGTTTGCTATTGAATAACCTGCTTCTCTTAGCCAAGTTTTGTATTTATACATGTAAATGTGGGGAAATTAAACATTGTTTCATAAACTCAAAAGGGACCTTGTTTTAGTTTATTCATTTGCACAAACAAAGACCAGAAAATAGAATACATCAATAATACACTGAAGAATTAAATAAAATCAAAGGAAATTTAAAGGATGGAAGTATGCAATGTCCTAAAATGCACTCAAATGTAAAACATTTTGAAGACCTCCCTATGTACTTGGCATACTTTTTCTTTTTTTAATATATATATATATATATATATACTTCTTATACATTTCTAATGAAGAACATTACTTTTTTGTTTGTTTAACTGATACGCTTTCATAGTTTTTCTTTAGCTATGCCTTGACATTTGTTAAACTTGTTTTTCCTTATAACAAAAAAGAACTACAACTGTCGTTTTCACGTGCGTCATATAAAAGCGACTCTGTCTAACAGGAAGTGCCTTCTAATCACTAGTCAGCCTTTAGAGCTAGTGCAAGTTAAAGATAGCATCAACACAATGCTTAACGACACTGAGTTTGCGACTTTGCGGAATAGATTTAAGAGAGATGCGGAGTTTCTTATGCAAACAACGACAAACGGGGACGAAGATGAAAAGAGTAAGCCCCAGAAAGACTGTGTTGGCTAACACTGTTGGCTAACTTTGACTAGTTTTCTGACAGAGCTAACAACCGTTAAGTGGTATATAACGTTAGCTCTTGTTTGGACACTTGACACACCCACTGTAACGTTAGCTAAGTGTCGTATAAGGACAGCCTGATAGCTAACTTGAGCTAACAGTATTTGTAGGAAAGTAGCTATCTTTTATAGGTTAAATCTATTCAATGGCCAGTTTGTAACGTTAGACCACTTGCTAGACAATCTTTAGACATTTTGCCTTCACACAACTATGCTATTGACTGTATGGTGGACAAACTCTGAGGCCTTCACTGGCAGAAATACAACAATTCTTGATTGTTTTGACTGTGAGCAGCAAACGCTGTGCCAGCTCAGCAACATAATACAGGGAACTCCTACACTGTCTTCAATCTAAGGGCTGTCTCTTTGACAGTGTAAACTAATCGCTGTAATATAAGGAACAGGCAAAAGATTTATCAAGTGGTTAACCCTTTTTATTATTAATGGCTGCTTTTCCCCTCGTTTACATACCGTCAGTGATCCTTCTGACGACTTGGTCTAATATTATCTTGTATCCAAGATGGACCACCAGGAATAACGTATATGTAGGTCAACTACTTGTCTAGGGCATGAAGTTCACCGTGAACTCTGCACAGAGTAGACCTGCATGCTGAAGCAGTTCAGCAGCCAACAATGGGCTCTGATACGTTTAATCAACCAGTAAATTATAGAGATTAATACCTCTCTGAGACGTAAGATTATCTCAAAGATAGCTATCGGTTTCACCTCAAAAGCTCCTTAAACCTGCAAGGTTGGGGACTTGGCACATTCTGTTATAGCAAGAAAAAAAACTCATATTTAGTCGTAAATTCTGTACCATACTGTAACACTTTTACTATCTCTTAGTATTCCATTTTACTGACTCATAAAGTGTGTTTCTGTTGAACAATTCTTTCAGACTGTAGCCACACTTCGGTGGGCAATTCTCAGTTAATAATTAAGCGTAATTTGCTCTGAATCAAGTTGTTTTGTTCCGTAGTTAGATCTCTAAATGTAGACTCATGAATTGAAACTCTTTCTTTTCTATTGCCATTCAGGTCAGGAGGAAAAAGATGCTAAACCTCTCCCTCGCATTAACAGACACTCCATTTTCTGGCTCGTGGCATCTATAGGTGTGACCTACTATGTGGATTTCCTCCACAACATCATGGAGAATGATGACATCAAAAGGTGATTGAGTCAAGAGAAAGAATTTATTTGCTGTGAATTACCTGTACACATCATCATAGATAAAAATCATCATCATGGTACCAATGAAACCCCTGGTGTCTGATAACACTTAGAAGCTGTTTGTGGTGTTGTTAACGATCCCATCTTCTGCATTTCAAAAGCTTCACCCACTCTTTATACCTTCGGGTCTTAATTGAGTCTTCATCCTTTCAACCCCTGTTTTTTCAGTTGGTGGTTCAACGTGGGTCTGATACTCCTCGGGATCTGCCTGTCTCTGGCCATGTTTTGCATTGTGTACCTGGAGTGGTTCAAAGGCATCCAGCACTATGACCAAGAGTACCCTGCCATTCCTCTGATCACTACCGCAGCCTTTATCGCTGCATCTTGCAGGTAAAACAGCAAAAAACAGAACAACTAACTCTTTTAGAGACCAAAGAAAGTAGAACAGCATTTGATTTTTTTTTCTACAGAACAGTTGACTTCCTGTACCTCTCCTCCTATTTAAATGTGCAATTTAAAATTATCTGCGCGCATGATTAGAAGTGAAATTATATCAGTTTACTGAACATATATGTTGTCCAATTAGTAACAAGAAATTACATTATTGAACACACCTGTGTGGGTGAGCATGGCTTGGAATATTTTAATGAATCTTAACGCAGTGTGAGGTGGGACCTTTACCGTTGCATATTTTTAGCAGCACCCATTCATTAATACACTATGGAATTGTCTGTGGTTGATGAGGGGCTGAGTAGGGCAATGACAATAACTATTAAAAGCTTCCTTGACATGCAAAAAATTCAACTACCGGACATAGTTTTTACAAATAAGGTCCCATGGTGGTCCACTGAAAGGGGTGGGACTTTGCCTCTTAATTGCCTGTTTTACATTGACTGCCGCCTGAATGCTCTTAACTGGCCCCCGGCCGGTAGGGGTCGCAAGTGATAACACTGCTGAGTGCATTGCCGACCCCCCCCCCCCCAAACGCTACTCGGCGCCCGGAGACACAGTTTGCTCACTTTTATTGATTTGGATGGTTTTCCATGCTTTTTTAATTGGGCATCAACCTGATTTTTACACGCTTATTGTCGAGCTGTGTGCAGACACCTGCATAGATTCAAATGAGACACAATTTCATAAAAAGTTGTGTTGCTTAAATGGTTGATTGGAGTCACTGGTTAGAAGAAAGTGGGAAGCTGTCAAATGCAAAACTAGTTAATCAATAATGTATGATTCATCAATACTGATACTAATTCATATTGTGCATCTTTGTAAGCGTTGTTGTACTTTCCTTGCAGCCTAAACATGGCCCTGTGGCCAGTGTGGTCCTTCTTCACTCCATTCATCCTCTTCACACAGTTCATGGGTGTGGTCATGTTCATCTCTTTGCTTGGATGAATGTGACAGGTGAGGATAATGCTTTTTTTTTTTTTTTTTTTTTTTTTTTTTTGAAGCTGTCATTTTGAGCTTCACAAAATGTCTTTTAATTGAATAAATAACTTGTCCTTACATTGTGAAAGTGAAATATTGTGTCATTAAATACTTAATACCAACGCTGAAGAATCTGTACTTTACGTAATCTTGTTATCCATAATGTTGAGTTTTCTTATGATAGTTATCCTCCCTTACCTGCACATGTTTCTGAAGCAATGTCAAGTTTACAACTGAATCAACAAACTACATTGCACTGTAAGACAATTTATGCCAAAAACCTGAGACATTCCAGCACCAAAATGAAACGCACACACTGACCATAATGTTATACGGCCACATTTTGAAACGACACATGCACTTAACACAGCACCAAACATTTAAAACTTTATCAAAATCAGCAACATGTGTCTTTTGAAACTTAAGATTGCATATATATATATATACACACACACACACCTGCAGCTGATTGATGTAGATCCCTCTGCTGACTGTGGTCAGTCTGTATTGATGCTTTTGGTTGGGCAGCTCAGCATGGTAGGATCACTGTGGTGTCGGTGAGAGTTTAACCATCTCCGTTTATGATTTGTCACTGATGTGTTTCCCCAAAGAAACAATGATGACTGTGTCAATAGAATGTGATGCATTGTGTTATAGTAGGAAAAGGTGTTCCTGAATAATAGTGGTTACTGATAACATTAACGATGGGTCGGCTCTGTTTTAAATGTGTTTCAGGAAGGTATGGTATTAAGCCACCATTCACCAGGGGCCGTATTCACACACGTTCTGAGAACTAAGCATTTCTAGCAAGGAGTTTTAGCTTAGGAGTGATTTAGAAAACTTCTCAGAGCAACTCAAGAAAGGGACAGAAACATTATAGTGAGGTGTGGTTGACCCTGTTGCTATACAACACATTATTTTAAAAACGTGTGATTGGTGGATCCCAAAGAAAAATAGGCTCCATTTAGACATGTTTTTTTAGTTTTAGTGTTTCATTTTTAGTACTTAATCTATTTGATTTTTAAAGGAGAAAAGGGCTCAGCTTTCATCCAGTTTATATACTGTAAGTAGCGGTGTTATTCGGCATGCAAATCTATAAACCAGCAGACATTGTTGCATTTATCCAGTTGCCAAATATCTTCGTGTTGTGATCACTTTCATGTCTGGTGTTTTAGCGTTGAGTGGGAGATGTGAGCGCATCTCTGATGAGATCAACCTCAAACATTACAGTAATACAATCTAGTGATTCATTCACTTACTGTCATTCAGCATCTGTTTCTCTTTCCACCATTTCCTCCTCTGCTTAAGAAACTCTTAGAAAGCTTTATGAATACGGCCCCAGGACCCTGACACTCAAGCAAACAACTGGCTTTTTTTTGTTATTTATAGTGTGCTATTTATTTCTTTGCTTTTCCTACGGTGACCCGTTAAAATGTGCTGTGAAAATGGCCTTTTCTATTTAAATGATGAAAAATGTGTATAAGCAATGGAGTAAAGGTGTTCCACCATTCATAACTGTTAATAAAAAAATAACACACTGCTTTTTCATAAGCAGTTTGTGGTTCACAATGTTGACTGCTCATATTCTGTAAAATGTTTTTTTTCTGAAATAAAGTTTATAACGAATTTCACTACTTGCTATAAATGTTATTGCTTGACTAAGCATAACCTTGAACAAATCAATAATTTAAAAACATCCACATATAGAAGATGCACTGATGCAGTCTCAGATGGACCTGAGACTGCATCAGTGCATCTAAATCTAAATCCAAAATATTGGCAAAACTTGATTAAAAGCTTAACTTGTACCAAGATGACGCCTCAAAATGTATATAAAGTATGTGTATGTATGTATATGTATAAAATAATAAAATATTTAGAAAATCATTCTGATATAGCAAAGCTTTTGCCTATAACATTTTTATCTGAACTTTGGACCCCATGTACTGGATTTTAAAGGCTTGTTTGTCACTAAGATTTGTTTTAATGTAATCATCACTTCTTATAGTTTTTTTTCAGTTTGACTTATTTCTCCAGTGTGTTCATTACTGATGGTCAACATACATGCCAGTGATGGATGAAGTATTCAGATATTGACTTGAAAGGGTTATGATACACATAAGCATTTAAAGTTTCCTTTCAGAGTGTCGTATTATTATACATATTTACAGCTACGTTTAAATGTTTGTTGTGCTCTTAGATACTGCACATTTTAAAAGATGACATCACCTACTCACTATTGAACGCAAGTACCTCAAATATCTCTTCAGCTTTGAAAAATAAGCATTTGTTTTTAAAGACAATAAGAAAAAACATCTTTTTCTCAATCAGTTATTGATTTGTCCTTAAACTGCACTCAGATTAAATTAGGTTGTTTTGGGGGCGTTGGAGTGCAAACGACAGAGCTAATTTAAACACTTCCAGATTAAATCAAAAATGTTTAGATTTAGTCAATCGCCCATTAAAGTTCCCAGATAATGAATAGATCATACTCTTTTCCTTTGTCGGGCTGATTCTCAGTGATTAAGAAATCAATACTCAGACATCAGCTGATGTGCTGTTAAGGACTTTAATCATCTCCAACCCTCGTGACGCCACTGTGGAGTGTCCCTCGCGATAGGTTAATGAGGTCCCAAAGATGAGCAAAACAGTTTAATCAAAGCCAATTTCTCCTCACGTTTTACTAGTAACCAACTTCAAAACACATTTTACGCCTATCAACAAAACAACAGCTGTGCGCGTTGGTTTCTCCACGTGCCGTGCGCAGATCTCCGATATGCTACCGATGGAAAATAAACATAATTGCAGTTTGACCTATGGGCATGTATTTAATGCCAGGTGCTGCATGAACCCATCAGGTTATGTTTATGACGCCTAGATTGGACTTGTACATTAAGGTTTGTGGTACATACATAACAATTAACAGTTTACAAACATAAAATGGAAATTATTAAGAGAAATGGAAATCAATGGATACTAAAATGAGTATAGAAACTTTTATTTTGAAAATAATAGTAATAAATCAGGATTGCTGCTGTTCACCAAAACACTTTAACTAGTGACCGTTTATTTGTTTGCACCAATTGATCCCCAAATATCCATGTCCTCTATTTCAACCACCTACCAACTACTTGTTTTTATGTTTTCTGAGTCATGCTGCTGGACTAGGTTGACTCACTATCCTGAGGGACTGAGAAGATAGGAGCTATTGTGAAGCCACTGTGTTACGTGTATCCATTTCACTAATTCTGTTTCACTTTTTTTCAAGTTGGTTTTCAAAAATGGAGCCATATTAGTTTTTTTTAAATAAGGTAATTATTCAAAGACCCTGATTACCATATTATCCTAGATTCACACCAATCACCTCTCAATCTGTGTGAGCAGTCCTGTTGTTATGCTGATTGCGCGCATCCGCCCACTCTATTGAACTAGAGTTTGGTCATGTCCATAAGAGCTCTCAGTGCTGATGATCTCAGTGTTCTCCTTGTTGACATCCACTTACAAAAAGCCATTGTTAATTCGAACATTGAAATCTGATCCTACTTTTTTTTCACCTTGAGAGCAAAGTTTTACAAGTGGACATAAAGATTTGAGGAGGTGGCACTTGGATTTGAAGCGCTGTCAGGGCAGGTCACTTGCCTCCGCCTGTTAAAATCACAGGTTTGTGAAATGTCATCCTCCCTTTTATCTCATCCAGGACTGTGTGCTTAACACCCGATAGCCACCCTGAGAGGATTTCAGCAGACGTGAAAGACTGCCTGGCAGCTGCTGAGAAGAGGTGGATTTGAGCGAAGCTCGTTTTTTTCTGTTGTTGTGGATAATTCCGTGCTTAGTGTTTTTGCTTCTTTAGTCAGTGAATGGTTGGCACAGCAAGCCCAGTGATTTCTCTGAAACATATGGGAGTTTCAAGAGGACAGGGGTCTGGGATCACCAAAGAGTGAAACGCAATCTACAGTTTTCCTAGCGAGCCTGTTACACGATCAGAAATTTCAGTTTCATGGTTACAAGATGACAATGGCATCTATCAAATCCATCCTCAGTGAGGCTGGACATTGAAACTATGCGTGACCACTGAGCCGGACATTGAAGATTGAATTAGCATGTTTGGCACGGTACCTATTCGCCTGAATCCCCACCTTGTAGCAACAGGTTAGGCACCTGGCCTCCCCCAAATGCTCTTATAGCGCGCGGCTTTGACTTTACTCCTCTCCCGGCATTGCGATTCTTCTGCATGTCTCCCACCATGGTGGAACACAGCGGCCTGGATATTATGTGTCTGAACAATTACTGTCACAGTTCTTCCTCGTCGTCCAGCTCCGAGCCTGACAAGAAGATTTTCACTAAACTAAAACTCAGTTTGTCAGGGGATTATCCGAGGAAGAACGCAGAGATCCTCAGCGGCCAGTACGGGACCAATCTGCTGCTGATCGGGGCGGCGTTGATGCTGGCTGTTGCGCACCATGGCCCCTCTGTCAAGGAAGAGCACCTGCTGTCCTTTGTCACCTGCCTCATGATCCTCCAGCTGATCTGGATGATGTGGTACATCCTGGTGCGGGAGAGACAGAAGGACACGCGGACCGAGAAAGACGTCCACGCCACCACATGCTGGATAAGAGGTGAGTTTGGAAGATTACGCGCCAGATTACAGCAGTAAATGGGTAAAATAGCAAACTGATGTTCTTTTGCATGCGTTTGGAGATGACAGAGGGTATTTCTTTAAGCATCCGAAAACCATAATATTTACAAGGATTTATGTTTGATAACCTGAAAAGATGTGTTCGCTATAAAGTCAAAGTGTGGCTGTAATAACTTGATCTGTATTTATTTTTTCTTCATAGGTGGTTTGACTCTCCTTGCACTCCTTTCACTGATTATGGACGCGTTCCGAATCGGGTATTATGTTGGCTATCAGTCTTGTGTGTCGGCGGTGCTCGGGGTATATCCTGTCATCCATGCAACTCACACCATAGCACAGGTACGTTTACAACCCAACTTTCATTTCAATAAAGTGATAATCTTTCAGTGCTTTTTTCTTTTCTTTCTGTGCACCACGTAACCAGGTAGGTCTTTGAATAATGTGCTCTTTGTTGTTGAGGCGAGCACAGAGTTACTGCAACAATATAATCCTGTCATTGTCCGTGCTATTTGAGTGGAACTGACAAAATCCTTTTGATGACGGGATTTAAACGATTCTTAAGTCGATTTTGCTGTCTATGAAATATGTTTTATTAAGTGATATTTTGGATTATGTTTTGTCTGGCTTTTTAAATGAAGGTTTTGTGTCTTGGTGTTTTGTTTAGGTGCATTTTCTCTGGTTTCACATCAAGGATGTCATCAAGAGCTTTGAAACATTTGAGAGGTATGTGAAGTATGTGTGATATTACAAAACTTAAATTATTGTCAAAAAGCATGTTTTGATACCACAATCCTGAAACATCTCACCAGCGACAACAACATATTGTATCATAACACTGCCATATGCCATTAGTTAGCTGCTCATCAAACTTGTTTTCAACTGTTTGTCTCTTCAGATTTGGTGTAATACATGCAGTCTTTACCAACCTCCTCCTCTGGTGCAACGGTGTGATGTCAGAAGCCGAGCACTTCTTAAACAACCATAAGAGAAGACTCTCTGCCCTGGGCTACGGAAACCTCACTATAGGTAAGGGCCAAGGGGTTGATTGCTGGCTTGTACCTAGAAGACAAGTACAATAGTCCACTTGAGAGCTCACTTCAATGGATGAAAGAAAAAGGAAGGAGAGGAGGGTTTTGCGAGGGGAAGGGAGGGTTTTGCGAGGGGAAGGGAGGTTAGCTCGGCAGCCCAGTGGGTCTTGTTTGTGTCGAACGTATCACTATTAGGTTTCAGGAGACACACAGTGTTGCTAGTGCTGAGGCCCTCTCCCCAGCCCTTTCCCCACACTTCAGCCACCACCACCCGCCTTGGCAACCCCCCGCTTGACCTCAGACGGCTTTGTCCCGAGGCTGCTAACTCCCGAGGGTGCTGCAATTACAGTAACTGATACATCTAAGCTCAGGGTTGGGGGGTTCAGCTGCTCCTCCTCATATCCGGCTGACTGTGAGGCTGGCTGCACCGTGACTGTTGTTCCCTTTTTAATTAAAGGCTGCAGTACCATAGTGGTGGCCTTTTGGGTGGGGGTGAGTGGGGCACACGGTAAGGTTTTGTTGAGATCAGCATTACCATATCGTGTTGTGCTGGCCTTGATAGGGAGTAAGTATAAAAACTGCAAAGTCATCACCATCTAAGATGCTCAGACATTTAGCGAATGAGTGAAATGTCCAATTAAAATCAGTAGAATAGGAAAAATTTATATTAATAAACTTGATTTTATAGGTTACTATCAAAATAATTTAAAGTCACACTTTAGTAAAAACTAATAAAAATACTGGCCTTTACAGTTACTTCAAATTTAAGTTTCATAACAAATCTAAAAGTATTAAAAACAATGTCAATAAAGAAGTATCCGTCCTGGTTGCCTATGATTGTGAGATAAAACATAAATACCATAAATAATCTTAAAATAAGTTACTTAAGGGGCCCTCTTTTGCTTTGAGATATTTTGCATCCAGGCTTCATTGTTAATCCAAATTATTGGGGGGCATGAATGTAGAG